GGACCAGATCTATCATCAAGGAAGTGGCGGAAGGCCTCTGAGCAGTGGGCTGATTGGCTAAGTGAGGGGACAGAGAACTTGGCTCGAAAAGGAGGAAGAGAAAAAGAAATCAGTTGTAAAAAGGGAATGCAGGCTGGGTTCTGGGAACAAACTTTTTTTTTTTAATGAGACAGCGTCTCTCTGTGTTGCCCAGGCTGGAGAACAATGGTGTGATCTCTCTCACTGCAACCTTCACCTCTGGGGTTCAAGCAGTTCTCCTGCCTCAGCCTCCCAAACAGTTGGGACTACAGGTGCCCACCACCACACCCAGCTAATTTTTCTTTCTTTTTTTTTTTTTTTTTTTTGTAATTTTAATAGAATGGGGTTTTATCATGTTGCACAGGCTGGTCTCGAGCTCCTGATCTCAAGCGATCCATCTGCCTCAGCCTCCCAAAGTGCTGGGATTACTGCACCCAGTTGATTTCTCCATGTTAAAAAGAAAATGTTGGCCAGGCATGGTGGCTCATGCCTGTAATCCCAGCACTTTGGGAGGCTGAGGTGGGAGGATTTTTTTAGCCCAGGAGTTCAAGACCACCCTGGACAACATAGTGAGACCCTGTCTCTAAAAAAATAAAATAAAATAAAAAATTATCCGCCAGGTACTTGGGAGTCTGAGGCAGAAGGATTGCTTGAGCCCAAGAAGTCAAAGCTGCAGTGAACCATGATTGTGCCAGTGCCCTCCAGCCTGGGCGACAGAGCAAGACCCTGTCTTAAAAAAAAAAAGATGCAGAGGACTTGAGTTTGTTGAAATGAGAAAGGGACAAAGGTAGTCAGAAGGGAAGGGTTGGAGATTTGAGGTGAGACCAGTTCTGAGCAAGTGGGAGGCTATGTGGGTCCTTCAGGCCTGGGCTGGGGAGGTTGGCCTGGCCGGCAGGCCCCTATGCCTTCCACTGGGGGACGGCGAAGGAATGGTGGACGGCGAAGGAATGGTGGACGCAAACACAGATATGTTTGAGGGGGTGGGCTGAAGGTGACCACTCCTTGGTCTCATATTCCCTCCCTCCCTCCCTCCCTCCCTCCCTTCCTTCCTTCCTTCCTCTCTCTCTCTTTCTTTCTTTTCTTGACAGAGTCTTGTTCTGTCATCCAGATTGGAGTGCAATGGCTTGACCTTGGCTCATTGCAACCTCCACCTCCCAGCTTCAAGTGATTCTCCTGCCTCAGCCTCCCAAGTACCTGAGATTACAGGCAGACACCACCGTGCCCAGCTAATTTTTGTATTTTTAGAAGAGACAGGGTTTCTCCATGTTGGCCAGGCTGGTTTCAAACTCCTGACCTCAGGTGATCCACCCACCTCAGCCTCCCACAGTGCTGGGATTCCAGGCGTGAGCCACCGCGTCTGGCACCTCATGGACCATTTCTGATCCCTCCTGGCCCCAGCGGCCCTGCTAGGTCTCTGCCAGCCTTACTTAGAGCACAGGCCGTGTGAGCCCTGAGGAGGCTCCACCCCAGCTCCCACCCCGCCCTGGAGGAGCAGGCCAGGCAGGCAACCCCATGAGGTCATCCAGAGTTTGGGGATTGAGACCAGAGCTGAAGGCACTCAATCGAAACCCAAAGTCAGAAAAGCAGAAGTGCAGGCCTGCTTTCCCCCATCCTCAGGGGGTAGGAACCCATGGTCCACTCAGCTCTTTCACAGAGCCAGCCCTGTGACAGCTCTGTTCTACAGATGAAGAAACTGAGGCCCAGAAAATCAAGTGGCTGCTCAGTGAGAAGCTGAAGTAGAATCTAGACAAGAGCTCAAGTTCTGGACTCTGGCTCTACTCTTTTTCCCTTTGAATCAACGGAAGCTTCTGCCCCACACCCAAGAACAGAGTCTCACCTGAAACTGTTACGTTTGGAATCTCACCCCACATTCATGCAATAAGATGACATTGAGCCAGCTCATGCCTCTAATCCCAGCACTTTAGGAGACCGAGGTGGGCAGATTGCTTGAGGTCAGAAGTTCCAGACCAGCCTGGCCAACATGATGAAACCTCATCTCTACTAAAAATACAAAAAATAGCTGGGCATGGTGGTAGACACCTGTAATCCCAGCTACTCAGGAGGCTGAGGCAGGAGAATCACTTGAACCTGGGAGGCGGAGATTGCAGTGGGCCAAGATGGTGCCACTGCACTCCAGCCTGGGTGACAGAGACTCCATATCCAAAAAAAAAAGGAAAGATTATAGTGAGCCATAGCGCCTCACCAGCGGCACAATCAAATCACCCGAGGACTCTTAAAATTAAACGCTTTGCCCAGGCCCCTGCCCAAACCACTTCCATCAGAATCTCAGAGGGCTGAGCTATGTACAGTTCCCCAAAACCTACTGAGGCCTGAGGTCCAGGACCCTGTGGGTCACCCCTAGCTCCCTTGATCCTGCCCCTGGATGTGTAACTCTGGGCCGGGCCAGGATGAGTAAAGGGAGACCCAGTATCTGTCCTGGAGACCATGTGATCAGGGAAGGGACCTGTCTTGTGGACACGATTGAGCTCCGAGAAGCGAAGATCACCATTCCTTCCAGCTCTCCCTCCACCCGGCCTGGGTGGCACAGAGCAGACTCACTGAGTCAACAAAGGATACCATGTCCCCTTGCCAGTCCCCGAGCCAGTTCCTGAGCCAAGTCCTGCTTTAGAGGTGTTTACTTTGCCTCTAGCCCCAGAGGACTGGGTCTTCCTAGTGTACCTGCTCCTGACCCAGCACCTCCTATGAGGGTTTGGGAGGGAAGAGCAAGGTCAGATGGGGAGAGGATGAGTGCTGTGCAGCTGGTTTGTTCTAGAACCTCTCCTGACCCTCCCCCTGTGGCTCTCAGAGGCATGAGGGTGTTGTGCAGGGAGGTAGACTCCACAGGGGAGCCACTGTGGTCATCACCTCCTCTTGCTGGGGGAAGGGAAGCCCAGACAGGGCCTGAGAGCCAACCAAGAACCGGCAGGAACTCTGTGAGTTTCCTCAGTCCCTATAGTTTGGGGCGGGATCCCCGCAAGACATCCCCATCATGGGGACCCAGCTTCCTACTGAGTTAGAGAAGCAGGTGAGATGCCAGGAGAGCTGCTGGCTGCACGTTCTGCAGACCCAGCCCTGACACTGACAACCCTGGCCCCTCCCACAGGGAGTCCCTGCCCTCCCTCCTATTCCACCTTCAGGGCAGTGCTGAAGGTCTGGATTCCACACCTGTCCTCCTCTCTCTGCTCCCCACCCAGCTTCTCCCTGGTGGCTCAGAGTTTCTGGCCTCTCTGGAATTTACAGGCTCTTCCTGTCTCTGGGGCCTGGTTGCATATCCCTTGGTGACCTGTCATAGGCACCTGCATGTGTGTGGTGTGAGTGTGTGTGTGTGTGTGCGTGTGTGTGTGTGTGTGTGTGAGAGAGAGAGAGAGAGAGAGAGAGAGAGTTTGCATCCCTGCCTCAGGGTGGGGACAGTGAAATTGGTCAGGTGTGTGATGAGCATACGGCTTCAAGGCTTCTGTGATTCCCGCTGCCCTCCACCCTGGCAGGGAGGAGGGGATTAGCCCACCCCTGGGGTCTGGGATTCTGAGTCAGGCCCAGGGGAATGGGGCAGTGGTAGGAGAGCTCAGTGGGCAGAGCAGGGCATGGGGCCCAGTCTTGCTCCCAGTGTGATCTCTCCAAGTGTCTCATGCCCCACATTCACACCGTTTCTGGCTTTGCTTGGGGTCCTTGTCCCCAGCCTACAGTAGGTACAGGAGAGGAGGGGCTGAGGGACATGGCAGGGGAGAAAAGAGAGCCAGGGTGGGGCCGGAGGAGGAAGAATGGGCATAGGGTGGGAGAGGGGGAGTCAGAGCCTGACCTGGAAGGGAGGTGGCCTTTGGCAGAGGTGGGCTGGTGGGCTTGGTGCTGCCTGGCTCTTAAGCCTGGGGCTGAAGCAATTCTAAGGGAGGAGAGAAGACGTCTCACTCAGGGCTGCATACAATGTGCGTGGCTGGGGTCTGACACCCCCACATGAGGGGGTGAAGGGAAAAGAGGCCAGGAAGATCTAACCTTCCTCCTGGAAGAAGCTGGTGCCTGGCCCTCTTCTCTGGGTCCTTGGAGACCAGGGGACAGGCATGGGCACACCTGTACACGTATGTGGACACGCAGGTGGGAGGGGGTGGATGTGAGCACGCAGGCACTGGAGGTCACATGCATCTTGGTGACCAAGTCTGGAGGAGACAGACCCAGGTGGTCAGGCGGCCAGATTGTGGGGTGGTCAGAATCCTTCCTGTCCTCCTTGGGGCTGGCACAGCCCAGACGCCAGCTCCCTCCAATATCACATCAGCCCAGACCCCTTCCTCTTTGGGAACCCTTCCCCTCCCCCACAACTAGCTTCCTCTTTCCCATCACGTCCTCCCTGGGCCTGGAGGGAGCAGACTACCACTCATTGTCCTGTTTCCGCCCCAGGAGCTACTCCAGGCCAGCCAGGCCCCCAGAGCTCAGCGCTTCCTCTGCCCACCCTGTCTGTTCGGCGCCGTGATTCTCTCTGTGCATCCTGCACTACGGCTGCGTCTGGAGGGTGATCTTCCCCTGTGCAGCCACGCCATGGCTGTGTCTGGGCCTGGGATGCAACTCACAGGTCATTAGAGCACTGAGTGGGGCAGCCAGCGATGTTTCTAGAAGCATAAAAATACCCCCAACCTGAGGTCCCTCCACCCCACCCACCTGACTCAGGCAGCACTTCCGCTGCCCTGACAGGAAATGGGCTGGAGTCTCAGCCTCCCGCCATCTCGAGGCAACTTCTTGTTTCCCTCTTGCCCTGTGCCAGCACTGGGGTAGTGCCCCTTGGCTCCACCCCCAAAACCTTCCCAGGGCTCTGTCCTGACGGCTCAGAGGGGCCAGGATGGTGGACATGATCGCCAAAGTTACCAGGAGACAGAGTCGAGCCTTGCGGGCACAGGTAGGGGATGCTGGGGTCAAGGGGTTCCGGGTGAGCCTCCACCCAAGCCCTGTTAGGAGCTGGGAGAGCTGGGGCTCAGAGCAGTGAGCCTCTTGGAAGTTGGGGTTCATTCTTCCTTTTCTCTTTCCTTCTCAGAGGCCCTGCCCGTCCAAGAAGTGGCAAGAGCGGCAGGGCTGCCACCTGCTTGTGGACAGGGAGGGAACTGGAGACAAGGGGTGAACCTCTGCAAGGAAGTCCCAGGGTGCTGGACAGCTGGGGCCTGAGAGCCAGGCCTCTTGGCTCCTCCTCTGGCTTGCAGTGGGAAGGCCACTTCTTGTCTCTAGGATGCAACTCAAGAGCCATTGGTTCCGTAATCAGGCCCCTGCTTATAAGCTGCCTCTGGGTTTTGTCTGGGCCCCCATGAGCAGGAGCAAGGAGGAGGGTAGGGGTAGCAGGCGCTGTAAGTCCTTGAAGGCCAGAGGATGTGGAGGGCGTGACTACACCTGCCCCAGGAGCTGGTGAGAACCCAGCTGAGGCTCTGCCGGGAGAGGAGTGTGTCTCTAGCTCAGCAATGCGGGGCTCTGTGGAGAGTTCTAGAGTTTGAAGGGACCTGAAGGACACTGCAGTTCGATGCCCACCACAGCACTGTCACTTCCCTCACCAGGAGTGGACTCTGCTTAGTCACCTCCAGCGAGGGCCCCTCTACCTCCAGAGGCAGCCTGTGTGTCTGGGAGCCCCAGTCCCCAGAATGCTTCCTTCAAAGGAGCACTGCTCTGTCCCTGAAGTGTGATGCCATGTCTTCTCTTCCTTGTGACAGCTCTGTCATGCTGGGGACCTAAATTTCTACCTCCCAAATCTCCTCTGTCCCTGCTGAGGATATTCCTTTGTGTGAGGACCCCCTCAGCCTCACTGGCCTGGGACTCCTCGTGGACTCAGAGCCATGGCCCCCAGCCTGCCAAGTAGAAATTCCTGCTCCAGGGAGGAACTCCTGCTCCTTCATTCGCTCTTCCACCCCTGGTGGGGACTTTCAACTGCTGCCCCAGTGGGTTTAGCTGTGAGGATGGGAGGTGAGTCCAGTTCCTCTACCTTCCTCTTGCCGCTGCTTCCATCCGGCCCTCCCCAGGAATCTCCTGGTTTCAACCCTCCTCTTCAGAAAGTTCAGGCTCATTCCAGGCTCTCCTGTAGCATCAGGCATGTTTGTTGCTGAAGTTTGGCATGGGTTAGACTTGTGTATTCAAGCAGTAAGTGTTTGTAGCAGACCTGCTGTGTGCTTCAGGGTGTTGGCCCAGCTGCTGGGGGGCAAATGGAATCAGCTACATTATCCCTACTCTTGCTCTCAAGAAAATCCTGCCTTTTGGGGCACAGAAGGTGGGCAGATGGCTGGACAACTGGCTGCCCACCACGGCAGAATGCCATCGGGCCCTAACAGAGCAGTGAGCAGAGAGCCAGCAGGTTTGACCTCTCCCTGGAGAGGCTTCTCAGCTGAGCACCACGGGAGAGCAGGGTTTGGGTAGGCAGAGAACCAGAGGAGGGAACTCCAGGCTAAACGGCGGAGCAAAGGCATGGAGGTGGGAGGATGCTTTTTGTGTTGAGGGCCGGTGAGAGGCCTGTTGTATTGGACTACAGGTTGCCACGTGAGGGCTGTGGTGCCCTCTACCAAAGGAGCAGTGGGGTGGAGGGTCCCCTCTCAGCTACACAGGAGCCTGGAGGAAGTGGAGAGCAGCAAAGAACTGATGGACTGCGATCCCCAGCGGTCCCGGCCCCTGAGCAGGGATCATCACCCTGCCTAAAACTGTACCATTCTCTTCTTTGACAGTGTTTTCATTTCTTGCCTAGCAGTGACCAGCACTGACATGCTGTCCATGTTGTCATCCCTGACATTGACACACAGGTGCACTTGAGCGCCAGCCCGGCGGGGGAGGGACTAGTGTCCCTTTGTTCACTGCTGTATTCCCCGTGCCTCCAACTGTGCCTGGCACAGAGCAGGTGAATCTGTGTTGGGTGCATGATTGTTCTTCTTTCCTTCTTTTCGTTGGTTTGGTTTGCTTTGCTTTTTTAGCAACAGTTTGATGAAAAATGAATGTGTTTCTTTGTTTTGTTTGTTCAGGCATCTGACTAAGGCTCAGGGAGAGGCCACCTTGAACAGCTGCTTCCTCTGTTGAGGAGTTTACAGCTTAGTGACGGTGTCACAGTCAGCAGAGCAACTTCTGTGATTGTTAAAAAGTTTTGTAGTAGAAAATGTTGAGGCTGCAGAAAAGTTCAAAGAAAACAAAACAAAAACAAATTAGGCCCTATAATCACAGTGCTCAGAGGGGACCTCTGGTAGCATTCTGGAAGGTTTCCAAAGATACAAAATTGAAATTTGGAAATCCGCTTTCCCCTTGAAGTGTTGTGTATGCTTAGAAAATAATAGTAATCCCCGAATGCCACGCTGCTGCCTGGAGTCTGAGAATGTAGTTATCTGTCCCTCTGCAGGGCTAGGGGTGCTGGGCTGAATGTGGAGGCACAGGGACAAGGGGAATCTTGGGAAAAGGCTGGAACCTGGCACCTGAACTGAGTCCTGAAGGAGGAATCAGAGGACCCGGCAAAAAAGGAGTGGAGATAGGCCTGGGCAGGCTGCAGATAAGCCTCTGCCTGGAGGAAATGCAGCAGGGAGGGTGGGGATCACCCCCCAAGTACTGGAGCTTAAAGTTCAAGGCAAGGGGCAAGAAGTGGCAGGAAATAATAGTGGAAGTGTGGGCCGGTGAGGGACTGTCTCTTGTGTCTGGTTAAGGGCTTACTTAGACTTTGCCCTGCAACTAGCAGGGAGCTCTGAGGTGTGAATCAGGAAAGCCTCTGTTCTGGGAGGCTTAAGCATGGCCAGGTTTATATTCTATGTGATTGAACCCTCAGCTGCTCTCGCTCTCCTTTGGGGTGGGGGAAAATGATTCACATCTCTTTGCCCCTCCGTTCTCCAGCCCATCTGGCCATCCTCTCTCCCTCTCTTGTCTGGAATTGAATCTGACACCTGCAGACTTCACCTTGGAAAGTTCAGTTCCCAAATCCAGACATGGTACTGATTCCAATCCCAGAGATTTCTGGGCTGACAGGGAGGTGGGGTGGGAGCTCTCAGTGGGGCTGGAAGAATGCAGCGTGGCCTTGAATGGGCACCACAAATGGGCACACCCCAGGCAACTTCTCAGTTCCTACCCACCCTCTGACTTGCCTCTATGAGAACTGGGTTATCGATGTTTTATTATTGTTGATAAATCTAATTAATGGAATTGACCCACCCATCTGGGGCACTAAATAGGTTACAAAACACTTTCAAGAACATTTCCTCATTCACTCTTCACTACAATTTCTGAAATGGGCAGAGCAGGCATTTCATACCCAGGAAACTGAGGCAGAGAAGTAGTGTGACTTTCTGAAGGCCGCCCAAGGGGCTAACGCTCAGTGAGAGGCCACTTTGAACAGGTGCTTCCCCTTTCAAGGAGTTTATAGCTTAGTGATGGTGTCATAGTCAGCAGAGGAACTTGTGATTTTTTTTTTGTCTTTTGTTACTTTTGGAACTTCTGATTTTTAAAAAGCTTTATTGTACAAAATTTTGAGGTTGCAGGAAAGCTTAAAGAAAACAAAACAAAACAAAAACAAATAAACCCCTATAATCGCACTGCCCAGATGGGACCTCTGTTAGCATTTTGGAAGGCTTCCGAAAACACAAAGGCTTTCTCCTCCCGCAGGCGGACGACCCCCCGGAACCCGTGTACGCGAACATAGAAAGGCAGCCCCGGGCCACTTCTCCGGGCGCCTCAGCGGCCCCTCTTCCCAGCCCGGTGTGGGAGACGCACACGGACGCCGTAACCGGGCGCCCCTACTACTACAACCCGGACACAGGCGTTACCACCTGGGAGTCACCCTTTGAGGCTGCCGAGGGCGCTTCCACCCCAGCCACCTCCCCTGCCTCAGTCGGCAGCCACGTGAGCTTCGAGACCGAGTGGGGCCAGTACTGGGATGAGGAGAGCCGCAGGGTGTTCTTCTACAACCCGCTGACAGGCGAAACGGCCTGGGAAGACGAGGCCGAAGACGAGCCGGAGGAGGAGCTGGAGATGCAGCCGGGCTTGAGCCCCGGCAGCCCTAGGAGCCCACGGGTGAGGGGCGGGGCTGGAGTGGGCGGGACTACCCTCTGAACGCCTCTGACCCCGCCTCCTGCTCCCAGAGGCCCCGGGACACACCGGTGAGGGGCGGGACTTGGTGGGCGGGGCTACTTCTGAATACCTGTGACCTCGTCTCTTGCTCCCACAGACCCAGGGACCAGAGAATAAGGGACGGGGCCTGGGTGGGCGGGGCTACCTCTGCCTCTGACTCCGCCTCCTGCTCCCACAGCCTCAGGGAGCAGGCTGAGGGCAAGGGCAAGGGGGTGTGTCTGGTCCAAAAGGGCAGGGCCAGCAGGCAGTATTGGCACTCAGGAGCCTCTGACTCCATCTTCTGCTCCCCGCAGCCCCCCACCCCCGAGACTGACTACCCCGAGTCGCTGACCAGTTACCCTGAGGAGGACTATTCTCCCGTGGGCTCCTTCAATGAGCCCAGACCCACTTCTCCCTTGTCCACACCCCCCGGCTGGTCATGTCACGTCAGCCAGGACAAGCAGACGGTCTACACCAACCACTTCACCCAGGAGCAGGTAGGGACAATGGGCAGATGGACCTGAACAGCCTCGGAGTCCTTCCTCAAACAGCTCTTCTTAGTGCTCTAAACTGCAGCGCAAACCAGCCAAATGCAGTCGCCTGCACCTCCCCCTCCAGATTCCCTGGTGCTGTCTTGGAATCTCGTTAGAGGGAACCTTTTCCTTCCCTCTCATGAGCCAGGCTGGGAGCCCTGACAGTTCCTCTCCCGACAGTGGGTGAGGCTGGAGGACCCCCATGGGAAGCCATACTTCTACAATCCAGAGGACTCCTCCGTTCGATGGGAGCTGCCCCAGGTAACAACCTGGGGAAAGGGGGGTGCTGGGGAGAGAGGAAGGGATCACATATGACTGTGTTTTTCTCCCCAGGTCCCTGTCCCTGCCCCTCGAAGCATCCATAAATCCAGCCAGGACAGTGACACCCCAGCCCAGGCCAGCCCTCCAGAGGAGAAGGTAGGGGAGGAGGCATTCAGGTCCTGGCAGGACCACTGCAGAAGCAGTGGGGCTTCTGGAGGTCCTGGGAGGAGGAACTGGGTGGAATATATCTGTCTCCCCCATAGGTCCCGGCAGAGTTGGATGAGGTTGGGAACTGGGAGGAAATCTCTCCTGCCACAGCTGCTATGAGGGTAGGCATCACCACCCCCGCCCCCACCCCCGCCCCCTACCCCTACCCCCAGCCAGGTGGTGGGGCTGACAAGGAGGATTCAGTGGAGACAGGCCCAGACCATAAGAAGTGACAGCTGAGCAGGACACCACCATCTGCTCCCCATAGCTCACCCACTCTTTCCCCTTCTCTCTCTTAGACCAAGACCTTGGACAAGGCAGGGGTGCTCCATCGCACCAAGACGGCAGACAAGGGAAAGCGGCTCCGGTGAGAGCCTGTCTACACCCAGGCTGGGGCAGGGTGGGCCCTGGTGATGATGTTCACTGTATGCCAGGCTGTATGCCAGGCTCTTATTAAATCCTCACATCAACTTCATGAGTGGTCCTCTGTGGACACTGAAGCACTGCAAGATAAAGTGACTTGCTCGAGGTCCTGTGGCTGCTCGGTGTTAGAGTCAGGATTCCGGCCCTTGTAGTGGGGTGCCCCAGCCTGTGTTCCTAAGCTCTGGCCTTTTCCTGGGGTGGGAGGAGGCCCTCAGCCCAGGATCAAATCTAAGTCCTGCCACCCCCACTTCCCCACCCCCACCTAGGAAGAAGCACTGGAGTGCCTCCTGGACAGTGCTGGAGGGTGGCGTCCTGACATTCTTCAAGGACTCAAAGACCTCGGCTGCAGGCGGCCTGGTGAGGCCAGGTCCCCAGGGCAGGGACCATCCCATCTTCTCTCTTTTTTTTTTTTTTTTTTTTGAGGTAGAGTCTCACTCTGTCACCCAGGCTGGAGTGCAGTGGTGTGATCTCAGCTCACTGCAACCTCTGCCTCCTGAGTTCTGCCTTAGCTTCTTAAGTAGCTGGGACTACAGGCATGTGTCACCATGCCTGGATAGTATTTATATTTTTAGTAGAGACAAGATTTCACTATGTTGGCCAGGCTGGTCCTGGACTCCTGACCTCAGGTGATCCACCCACCTTGGCCTCCCAAAGTGCTGGGATTACAGGCATGAGCCACTGTGCCCAGCCCCTAGCTGCTCTATTTAATCTGTCTAGGAGATGACCAGGTCTGAGAGAGTGGTCCATGAGTTAGAGGAGCTGGGCCTTGGCAGGGAAGGGGTGATGCTGGCAGATTTACTCCAAGACAAGCAGTTTCAGCCCCTGGGAGATGGGGAACAGTCTTGAGGGTGGCCAGCTCCAGCCTGGAGGGCAGGGAGGCTGGGGGCAGATGCACCTGCTTGCAGGGATGCAGGCTGTGCTCTTTTCCTGTCCTCCCTGGGAGGGTGAGCAGCAGTGGACATGCCAGTCAGCAGGCTCTGTGGTTAAGAAGCATCAGGGTCTCTGGATCCAGGAATGCTTGGGGCTCTTTCCCCCAGAGTTGTTTCCTGGCCATGCCAGTGACCCTATCCTATTCCTAGAGCCAGAGTGCGACAGCAGACACATCTGAGCCAAGGACTACCTGTGACCTTCCTTCTCCTCCCACAGAGGCAGCCTTCCAAGTTTTCCACCCCTGAGTACACAGTGGAGCTGAGGGGGGCCTCTCTCTCCTGGGCCCCCAAAGACAAATCCAGTAAGAAGAATGTGCTGGAGGTGAGTGGTGGGTGTGGGGAGAAGGAAGGAAGGCGCTTAGTGATGCCTGCCAGCCCTCTGATAACCATCTGGAAATGACCTGGAGCTTTTGACCCTTAATTCCCTATGAGCCAACACTGAGTGCAGCTTTTGGCTGTATTAATAGAGGTAGGAATCCAGAGCTAGAGAGGTGACATTGGTGCAGTTGTGGGCAGTGCTCTGGGACCCTTACTATAGGCAAGCCCCAAGAAGGAGAACCTGGGAAGAATTGGGGCTACTATTCTTGGGGCTCGAGGCCAACACTGCCCCCTTCCCCTACAGGGGACCTATCCTGTGTTTCTAGCATCACAGATTCTGCAGTTCCCTCTCCAGGAGCTGAGTTAATAATAATCCTTGCCCTGGAGGGTGGTGAGGAGTAAGGCCTCTGGGAGAGGAAATTCTCATGCCTGGAATGGCAGCCCTCAACCCAGCCAGAGAGATAGAAGGCTCCCTGTCTGTGGCTGCTTACTGTGACAGGCCTGGTTGGGAAACCTCTTTCTCCCTAGGTCCCCTTCCCTGCCCCTGAGCCAGAGCCCCATTTCCAACTGGACTGCATCCCCAGTAAATAAACTGGGGCAGTGGGCAACACTACCAGGCTACCCCCACTGGAAGGGAGAGAAGAAGCAGAAGGATCCTCCCAGTGCCACAGCCTTCACCATCCACGTGTTGTCTGGTTTTTAAACTACTTTTACCCTGACCTCAGTCCCTAGAAGGTTTGAGGCAGATCACAACAGAAACACATGTGGTGAACTGGCAAATTCACTGAAAAGCCAGGACCATGAAAAACAAGTTAGAGATGGGGCTCAAGATGGAGAAGAATTGGGGGGCAGACGATGTAGCGGTGCTAAGGTGGTTGCTAAGGAAAACTTAGCTCCGACTTTCCTGCTGGGTAAGGTGAAAAGAGAAGGCCTATCAGGTGCATGTCTCTTTGTCGTTGAAAAGCTAATAAAACCCACCCAGATGTCGAGGGAATCAAAGCTTTTTCCTAACCCTTCACTCCTAAATTTATTGTGTGTAGCTTCATGAACATGGGATCTAGAAGGACGAGGCAGGTACTCTGCAAAACAGCTCCAGGGAGGCTTAATTCAGGATCTGGGCTGCTTCAGGCAGCTTTGTTATGATGAAGGCCGACAGCATGACCTCGTGTCCAAGCCCAGAAAAAGCAGTTCTGCACGGAACCTGAGTGTGTAGTTTCCTGATTATTCACCAAGCTCCATTCAGTTCTAGAACCAGGATCTCTACAAAGCAAAGTTGGAAAACTGGTTTCATCTCATGAGCTATTCTGATGAGTAGGTCTGCAGTCTTCCGAGTTTTGTTTTTGGTTTTTGTTTTTAGAGACAGGGTCTTGCTCTGTTGCCCAGGCTGAAGTGCAGCGGTGTGGTCATAGCTCACTGAAGCCGCAAGTCCCTGGGCTCAACCGATCCTCCCACCTAAGGCTTCCTTCCGAGAAGTGAGGACTATAGGCGCGTTCCATCATATCTGGCTAATTTTAGTTTTTATGGAGATGGGGTCTGGCTGTGTTGCCTGGGCGGGTCTCAAACTCAAGGCCTTAAGTGATCCTCCAGTCTCAGCCTCCCAAAGTGTTGGGATTACAGGCGCGAGCCACTGTGCCCAGCCTGAAACCTCCTTGAGAAGAATTCTGAAGCCTTCTCTGGCTTGACAGGGTAGAGTTCTGTGATCAACTAACAATATCTGCCATGGTGTTAAATTGAGGAGAGACTCCACTTCTATTATTATTATTATTATTATTTGAGATGGAGTCTCACTCTGTCACCCAGGCTGGAGTGCAGTGGTGCAATCTCAGCTTACTGCAACTCCGCCTCCTGGGTTCAAGCTATTCTCCTGCCTCAGTCTCCTGAGTAGCTGGGACTCCACAGGTGCCTGCCAGCATGCCTGGCTAATTTCTTTGTATTTAGTAAAGATGAGGTTTCACCATGTTGGCCAAGCTGGTCTCAAACTCCTGGCCTCCCAAGTGCTGAGACTATAGGTGTGAGCCACCACGCCCGGCCTGAGACATCACCTTTGCTTGGCATGTTTCTCCCCTGACTTTGAGGGATAGGGATATCCTTCAAACAGTTCTCAATGAAGGTCATCTCTGATGGTCTTTTGATGAAAGTTTCAGAATAGGACTTTCTGGGTTGTCTTTGCTGGAAAGGACTGGAAGGCAGGTGCTGTTCAGGCCAGTGGGAAGGTGGGCAAGCCTGAGTGGAAATCACCAGCCCCTGCCTCCTGGTTGGCTGCTGGCCATCCTCCCTCTGTGCAGGGCAGCCTGTAGCCAGCTCCAGGGTTTTCCTCAAGAGATAGCCCCAAATTTTATATCATTGAGGACGGATGGCTTTGTTGGGTACAGGAAATTTTCACAGCAGGTCTTCCTAGTCACCCCAAAGTCACAGAAAACTTCAGCAACAGTACCCTGAGAACTGCTAGCATTTGCCTGTGCGTCCAACAGGATAAATGTGTTGTTTATTCTTACAGAGAGGGTCTGACTGTGCTGCCCAGGCTGGAGTGCAGTGGCTTAATTGTAGCTCCTTGCAGCTTCCAATTCCTGGGCTCAAGTGATGCTCCCGCTTCAGCCTCCAGAGTAGCTGGAACTACAGGTGCACACCAGCATGCCTGGCTAATTTTTAAAGCTGTTTTTTAGAGATAGGCTCTCATTCTATTGCCCAGACTTGAATTCCTGGTCTCAGGGACTCCTCCCACCTTACCCTCCCAAAGCACTAGGATTACAGGGATGAGCTGTTACACCTGGCTGGGGGTGAATATTTTGTGAAATGCATTGCTATGTAATAATACACTTTGCCTTCTACATGAAACTTGCAAATATGAACTGATTATGCTTTGAGAGACCTGCCAACAATCATGGCTGTTGTTTTAGAAGTGCTGTCAAGCCATTCTCTGGGATAATCTTGAGCAGAGCTCTTGTCTGCTTTGATTAGAGCGAGGCTGTGTTATCTGCCTCTTGAAGGTTCTCTAGCCTTTGCAGGGGAAGGCTAGGGGGTGGGATATGCCACTTTCTTTCTTTCTTTTTTAAGAAGTTTAAATAATCTTCAAGTATAAGTTTAAAAGGACAGCCAAGGACAGTCCACTCTGATTCTAGGAGTTGTTCCCTGAGGTCTGAGACAGTTTCTGCTGTCTCTGAGTCTTGCTGAACCGAAAGGGCAGGGTTGGTGTGAGCTGCAGCAGCCAAATCACATTAACCTGGAACACTGGGTCCTCAGAGCCAGAGGCGGATGAGAGATCCATCTAAGCTGTCATCCAACTCAGAAAGGACTCTGAGCATCAGCCCTGCAGTGGCAAGTTTCCTTCTGGCATTTTGTTTAATTTATGCTTCATGATGAAGTGGGCTATCAGATGTGTTGCCCAGGCTGGAGTGTGGGAGGTGGTAGTTACTCCTGGCTGCAGAAGGTGGGACAATGCTTCTGGGTCCTCAGTGTGTGCATGGGGAGGGACAAGGGGAAACCTTGCTTTCTCTGGAATGTCATGATCTGCTTTCAAATCCTCTCTCCCTATATTCACTGTTGTGTCTAGTAGTCAGGGGTCTCACATAGGAAGTTTCTTTTTTTTTTTTCTTTTTTTTTTTTTTTGAGATGGAGTCTTGCTCTCTTGTCCAGGCTGAAGTGCAATGGTGCAGTGGTATGATCTCAGCTCACTGCAATCTCCACTCCCGGGTTCAAGCAATTCTCCTGCCTCAGCCTCCCAAGCAGCTGGGATTACAGGCGCCCACCACCAAGCCCAGCTAATTTTTGTATTTTTAGTAGAGACAGGGTTTCACCATGTTGGCCAGGCTGGTTTCAAACTCCTGACCTCAAGTGATCCACCTGCCTCAGCCTCCCAAAATGCTGGGATTCCAGGTGTGAGCCACCGAACCTGGCCTCACATAGGAAGTTTCTTTCACCTAGTTTGCAGGCTAGTGCTCTGCATTAGGCCTGCCATGTTCTGTGGCTTGCAGGGAGGCAGGTTGGGGGAGGGAAAGTATACCAGACAATTGAGCCCTGCAGCTCTGTGCTCATCACTCACTAGCTGTGTGCCCATGAGGAAGCAGCTAAAACTTGCTGAGCCTGTTTGCTCATCTGTAATACAGAGATGCAGTCACCCACTGCTTTAAGTGATGCAGAAAACCCAAAACTTGGCCTGGGATGAGGCCCTTGCCCCATTAAGCGCTGAGTGCCTGGGGGCAAAAACAGGTCACCTCTATCTCTGTACCTACCCTCAACTGGGGCCAACCTCCAGGGCAAACCCAGGGTACCAGAGATGACCCAGTGACATGTGTCCCTCCAGCTGCGGAGCCGAGATGGCTCAGAGTATCTGATCCAGCATGACTCGGAGGCCATCATCAGCACCTGGCACAAGGCCATTGCCCAGGGCATCCACGAGCTGGTAAGCAGAGCCTGGGGCCGCTAGGGGCAATGGGGAGAGGGTGGCCATTATGCAAATGCAGTCCCCCACTTAGGCTGAGATGGCAGGGTAGGCTGCTGAGGAAACAGCCTTCCTAAGTCTGTGAATCCAGCCCTGGGGTTGGCCCTACAGGAAGACTCTCCAGGTGAGGGCAGGGGCATATTCTAGAGGAATTTCCCATCTCACAGGAGGCAGGAGGCCAGATATACACTCTGCAAGCCAACCAATGGCAGACTGAAGCTAGCAGATAACATTTTAAAGGATTGATTTCAATAGTCAATCATTTTTTTTAAGGTTCAAAATACCAATTGCATAAGTAGAGGATAGGACGGGGCCCCTCTCACAACTATTGACCTGGAAATGACCTGGGGCTTTTTGACCCTTAATTCCCCATGAGCCAACACTGAGTGCAGCTTTTGGCTATATTAATAGAGGTAGGACTCCAGAGCCAGAGAGGTGATGTTGGTGCAGTTGTGGGCAGTAGTCCGGCACAGCTAGAGGTACTGGGTCAGAACTGGGAGCCACATATTGAGGAATGCTCAATTCGTTAGAGGAGCTGAGAAAAATGAGGTCTCTGCACCTTAAGGGCTCCATGCAGCTAAGGGAAGTGAATGTTCTCAGGCTCACTGGTGGAGGCGAGGGGAGTTAACCCGGTTAGGAGGAGAGGACTCTTCGCTGAGGGTCTCCAGGCCATGCCTTTTGGGAGGGCATTTTGCGTTCCTGGAAGGACCCGCAGCTGGCTCAAGGCCCTGCCTCTCTGAGGCTGCGGGAATCCAGTCCGCAGAGCTGCCCCCTGAGGAGGAGACCGAGAGCAGCAGCGTGGACTTCGGGTCGAGTGAGCGCCTGGGAAGCTTGCAGGAGAAAGAGGAAGACGCGCGGCCGAGTGCAGGTGTGCGCAAGGCGGGATGGGCTGGGGGCTCCCAGGAGGCCTCTCCCGGGGGTAACCACTGCTGGGACCTGCCCGGCCTACCCCGGCGCCGCCTCCTGACTCAGTCCTGTTCTCCCCTGCCGCAGCCACGCCCGCCCTGGGCCCCGGGGGTCTGGAGAGCGACTTGAGCAAGGTCCGGCACAAGCTCCGCAAGTTCCTCCAGAGGCGGCCCACACTGCAGTCGCTGCGGGAAAAGGGCTACATCAAAGGTACCTGAGGCCTGCGGAGAACGGGGAACGGGGCGGCGCAGGCCGGGCGGGCGCTGACGAGCCTCTGCCCTAGACCAGGTGTTCGGCTGCGCGCTGGCCGCGCTATGTGAGCGTGAGAGGAGCCGAGTGCCGCGCTTCGTGCAGCAATGCATCCGCGCCGTCGAAGCCCGCGGTACGTGCGCTGCGGGGGTGAGGGAGGCAGGCATTGGGGTGCTTGCTGGTCTCCTGCGAGGACCACAAGCTGGAGACCCCTGGAGGGACACCAGGTCCGGGGGAAAGAAAGGGAAGCCTCGAGTGGGATTCCGTATCCCCACCCTGCACCTTGAACCTGGGGTCAGCGCCTCCCTCTGCCCCAGGTCTGGACATCGACGGGCTGTACCGCATCAGTGGAAACCTGGCCACCATCCAGAAGCTGCGCTATAAAGTGGACCACGGTGAGGCCCGTCCGCATTCCCCTGCCCCAGTGCCTGAAGGCTCGAGGGGTACTGACCTCCGTCGGCCCCTTTCCCTTCCTCCGCCACAGATGAGCGCCTCGACTTGGACGACGGGCGCTGGGAGGACGTCCACGTCATCACCGGCGCCCTGAAGCTCTTCTTTCGGGAGCTGCCCGAGCCCCTCTTCCCCTTCTCGCACTTCCGCCAGTTCATTGCGGCCATCAGTGAGCACCTGGGGCAGGTGGGGGGGGTGGGGTAGGTGCGCGGCAGGCCACCCCTTTGGTGGGCTCCCCTTGCCTGGCCGACACCCCCTATCTCCACGTGCGACTCCCTCCCTCCGACCCTTCGCTCAACCAGAGTTGCAGGACCAGGCCCAGCGCAGCCGCTGTGTACGCGACCTGGTGCGCTCGCTGCCCGCCCCCAACCACGACACGCTGCGGCTGCTCTTCCAGCACCTCTGCCGGTGAGCCGGGCGGGCTGCGCGAGAAGGGGGAGGCAGGTCCAGGCTGGAGCACCCCCTCAACCTCGCGCGTCCCCGCAGTTCCAAGCCCTGATCCCACTGACCCTCGCCGCAGGGTGATCGAGCACGGCGAGCAGAACCGCATGTCGGTTCAGAGCGTGGCCATTGTGTTCGGGCCCACGCTGCTGCGGCCCGAGGTGGAAGAGAACAGCATGCCCATGACCATGGTCTTCCAGAACCAGGTGGTGGAGCTCATCCTGCAGCAGTGCTCCGACATCTTCGCGCCGCACTGACGGCGGGCCTGGGACTGGGGCGGCCGCCGCCCTAGCCTTGCAGCCTGGCCTCCTTCACTCTGGGACCCTCCGCCAGCGCACAGCCACAGGCCGATGTGACTTCTTGTACCCTCGATTCTGAGGGTACGGTGACACCTAGTGGGCACTTCGCAAAATGTGATTTACACCCCACCCCCGGCCCCGCCCCGCACGTCCTGTTTTGGGATTAATTAGGTTTTTTTCCTCTGTGGCATCACGCCTACTGTACGTGTGCGATAGCGTGTGTGGGGGTGAGAGTTTGTTTTCTGGAATGGTGGTTGCTGGGAGGAGGAGCCTGGTGGGGGCGCTTCCTGGCTGCTTCTGGTGGTCACCTCGTGGAGGCCTCCGCAGAGACTCTGTGGGTTCTGGCCCTGTACCAGCACTGTGCCAGTTATGGGACAGCTGTGACTACTTCCCCACTGTGGAAACAGGACTGACCTAGCCTCCAGCGGGCGGCTGAACCTGCCCTTCTCAGGCCTCAGGGATGACCTCCTGCCTGAGCCTCTCACAGGCTGGCTGTGGACCAGTTTCATCTGCTTTCCTGTTGGGGGTCCTGGGCCTCTGCTGCCCTTGACCCACTGGTGTTCTGCGCAAGGCTTCATCCTGTTCACCACGTGCACGCCTGGCGTCCTCGCTCGACATGGCCAGTTCCATTTTATAGACGGGGACACTGAGGCCTGCAGCAACAATGTGGCTTGCTCAGGGCCCAGTGAGTGATCTCACTCCCCAGAAAAGGCTCCTCCCACACCAGGGCACAGCCTGGATAAGGGAGAAAATCAGTCCTTTCAGCTACCACTCCTCCAACCTTTGGGCCTATGCCAGAGCTAAACTGGGTATATTCCCTCTGGACCTGAGGAGGCCCCTGAAGGGAAAAAAGGAGCCTGCCCCAGCTGTCCTGTCCTGGGGGAGGGGGACAGAGCCCTAGCAGGAGCTTCCAGCCCTCTTGACACTCTGACCATCAGGTATGCCCATGTGGGGCCCACTTTGCTATGAAGAGCTGGGCAGGCCTGCAGGGTGTGGGGAAGTTGGACACAACCTCAAAAAAGGAAGCGTGAATCCCAGGGGACAGCAGATCCCTTCCCTCCTCAGACACAAGTCACCTCAGCTTTCGGCCCTTGTCACCCAGCCCCACCCACCCACCTGTTCATTAATGCAACAGACAATGACAGCTGATATTTATTGGAATTTGCATCATGCCAAGCATTTTGCCTGGATTATCCCATTTGTTTCTCACAGCCGGTATTTATTGTCTGCTCTTCTGTGCCAGGCATTGTGCTCTGGGCAGGGGCACGTCGAGGGCCGCCTGCCCTGGTGGAGCTTATGGTCTGATGTGTGAGGCTGACTGAAGCCCACCCCATTGCCAGCAGGGACAGGGCAAGAGTACACACGGGAGGCCTCATACCATATGTCTAAATATTTAAAAGTTATCAATCAAGCTAACAACTGTTAAATAAAATATGTTCTATTCTCCTACTTTGACAAATGTGCTTTGATAATGACCTGGCTGGCCAGGTTCTAATTTAAACTTCTTTGATTTTTCCAAGTTCCATGCCCAAATGTGGTGGCAGGAGAAGAGCAGGCCCTGGGCTCAGCCTTCCCCCTCGTCTTTGCACCCACAGAGCCCTCCTCCCCCAAGCAGAGGCTCTCAGGCACATACACAGACACTGTAGTCCATGTGTGCAAACTGCCCATACCCCCTGCAGCCAGCTGCCACTTGGTGACCCCACTGGTGATGTCATCCGCCCTTGAGGGAGTGTGCCTGGAGCTATTTGGGCAAGGCATTCTGGGGCCCCAAGTGTCAGAAGTATGGTCTAAAGGGAGGATCCAGGCTTCAAGAGAGCCCGCCAGATTCCTCCTCCTGTGAGGAGAGCCACAGACACGGATCTGGACTGGAGCCTTCTCCAGCAGAGGACCCATGACAGGGACCACTCTCATTTGAGTCCGAGGTGAAACTAGACAGACGGACACCAGCTAATTACTTGGTTACCACATTTGTACAAGAGCTGGAAGAAGCGCTGGGTGCTCAGAAGGTGTGTCATGGGGTGTGACTGTTGCCCAGGGGCCCAAGATGCCTCTGCAGAAGCCACATTTGAGAGAAGCAGTAAACAATGAAAATGAGTCGAGCAGGCGAGGGGGTAAGGGAAGGGTGCTAGTTGGTGGCAGTGGCACGTGCCAAGGCTATGGGGCAGGAACGCTTGTGGGGAGAACAAAATCTGAGAGAAAAGCATTGTGACCAGGGCCCAGAAAGCCAGGGGGCATGGGTGTGAGGTGAGGCTGGAGAGCTGTAAGGCACAGAGCCTGTGGGGCCTTAGGGATCACCTGAGTAGGGGGCCTGTGCCAAGGACATTGGGGCCCCAGGACAAGGAGCCGAAACGCAGGGAGCTCTCCACCTCCTTCTCCACCCCAGGCTTCTGACCCTGCCAAGTCCTCAGAGGGCAAATAATATAGCAGTAGGCAGAGAGGTCCTAGAATGACCACATTTTTTCCTCAAGGAGTGTCAGAAATTACCCACTACCAATGAGGAGACCTCTAGAGAGAACGTCATAAGTCACCTGCAGTCACATGGCAGGCTGGTGGCAGAGCCTGGCCCAGAGCTTCATTTGCAGTCTGGGGACTTACCTTATCCCCCAACAGAAGCCCAAGGCTCAGTCACGCGGCCCCAGCCCTGAGCACATGAATGGTGAGCACTGTGGGTGCGCGTGGAATAGGTTGGGAACGAATTGGATTGTGTTCAGAAATACAAGGATATGTAGAAATGTCTTCCCTCTTGAAGCTCTGTCTGGCCGGGGGAGAGATATAAAAAGGAGCGACAGTGGTACAGCTGATAAGGGCTGCCTCGGGGATCTCTCCCCAAGCCACCGCCTCTCAGCAGACGCCCTTGAGTCCTCCTGCAGCCTACAGGTCTGCCCCTGAAGCTACTCTCAGAAAGGCCATGGTGTCCACTTGGTTGCCCAATCCTGTGCGAATGAGCACGTGGACTGCCTGCTGCCCTCCTTGAGACACACTGTTCTTTTGCCTGCAGCAACATGGGGTTTTCGTTTTGTTTTTTTTGTTGTTGTTGTTTCTTGGCTGGTTGGTTGGTTAGTTGGTTTTTTGGGGTGTTTGTTTGTTTGTTTGTTTGTTTGTTTGTTTGTTTTTGGTTCTTTTTCTGAGACAGAGTTTTTCTCTTGTTGCCCAGGCTGGAGTGCAGTGGTGCAATCTCCGGTCACTGCAACCTCCATCTCCTGGGTTCAAGCAATTCTCCTGCCTCAGCCTCCTGAGTAACTGGGATTACAAGTGCTTGCCACCATATCCAGCTAATTTTTTGTATTTTTAGTAGAGACAGGGTTTCACCACATTGGTCAGGCTGGTCTTGAACTCCTGACCTCAAGTGATCCATCTGCCTCGGCCTCCCAAAGTGCTGGGATTATAGGCATGAGCCCCATGCCCCACCCTTCTCTTCTTTTTTCTTTTTTTCTTTTTTCGAGACAAGGTCTTACTCTGCTGCCCAGGCTGGAGTGCAGCAGTGTGATTATAGCTCACTATGGCCTCGACCTCCCAGGCTCAAGCCATCCTCTTGCCTCAGCCTCCTGAGCAGCTGGAACTATAGGCACACACCACCATGCCTGACTAATTTTTTACTTTGTAGAGATGAGATCTCACTATGTTACCCAGGCTGGTCTCAAACTCCTGGCCTCTAGTGATCCTCCTTCCTCAGCCTCCCAAAGCACTGGGATTACAGTATGAGCCACTGTGCCTGGCTTACATGAGTCTCCACCACCCCACTCCTCCCTTCCTCAGCTCCCTGTGTTCTCTGCTTGCCCTATAAATAAATGGTGATGCCCCACCCCCAGATTGTGCCCTCAGCCCACTGCTCTCTCTCTTCCACCATCCCTCAACCATTCCACCCTGCAGACAGCTACCAAGCCTGCACCCGTATCCCCCAAATCTAGCACCAGCGTGAAGTGCTCTCTCCCGAGTCCCATGTGCAAAATCTACCTGCTTAAGGCACACTTCCATGGGATAACTGCCAGACACTGGACACGCAACCCATCTGCAACAAAGCTCACAGCAGCCCTGCTCTGAGCATGGCACCTCCAGTCCCCAGAGTCCCAATCTTCTACTCCTACATATGTCCCATCTTCCCTTGGTCTCCCTTATCTGGATGATCACAGTGGCCTCTGAATGGGCGTCTCCTCTCCCCATTCAATCCTCCACCCAGCAGTCACCTCTCCCACCTCTGCACACCAGCTGTGCCTGCGCCTGCTGCCCCGGTACACTCCAGGCTACTGCGTGCTTGGATAGCTTTGGGCCAACAGTTCCCCTGCCCCCTTCCCTTTCCCCTGGCCAGTTCCTCCTCCTCCTCCAAGCCTCGGCTCACACCTTACCCCCACACCCTCCTCTGCTCTCTCGGTGTATCTCTCTCATCACACTTAGCTCACTGGATACACTTGTGCCTCCATGGCCAGGTCTCCCCACTGGGCTGTGGGCTGGCACAAGTTCACAAGGTTCATCCAGGTTGTAGCCTGCATCATTACTTTTTCTTATTATTTTATTTATTATTTATTATTTTGTTTTATTTATTTTTGAGACAGAGTCTCACTCTGTCACCCAGGCTGGACTGTAGTGGTGCAATCTTGGTTCACTGCAACCTCTACCTCCCAGGCTCAAGCAATCTTTCCATCTCAGCCTCCCAAGTAGCTGGGACTACAAGCGTGCACCACCACACCTGGCTAACTTTTGCACTGTTTGTAGAGACAAGGTCTTACCATGTTATCTAGGCTGGCCCTGAACTTCTCCCACCTCCGCCTCTCAACGTGCTGTGATTTGAGGCGTGAGCCACCACACCCGGCCCTCATTCTTTTTTATTGTCAAATAACATTCCATTTACGGATATGTCACATTTTGTTTATCCACGTGTCAACTGGTGGACATTTTAGTTGTTTCCAGTTTTTGGCTAATATGAACAATGCTGCCATGAAGACACACAGGTTTTTCTGTGGACATAGCACCTCAGTCAGCCATTGCTACCGTAACAAATTACCACAGACTGGGTGGCTAAAACAGCAGAGACAGATTTCTCACAGTTATGGAGGCTGGAATTTCAAGCAAGGTGCCAGTAGGGTCAGGTTCTGACGAGGGCTCTCTTCCCGGCTTGCAGACAGCCGCCTTCTCACTGTGTTCTCATGTGGCACAGATAGATCGAGCTCCAGTCACCTCCATTTATTACAAGGACACTGATCTCACCTTTATGGCCTCATCTGAACCGAATCACCTCCCAGAGGCCCCACCTCAATACCATCACATGGAGGGTTAGGGCTTCAACATAGTAATGGGGTGGGAGGCACAAACACTTGTCTATGACTCATGTTTTAATTCTCCTGTGGAATTCCCAGGAGTTTCCTGGATTAAATTGCTGGATTAAAAGGTAACTCTACCTTTCACCTTTTGAGGAAGGAACCGTCAAATTGTTTTCTACAGCTGCACAGTCTCCCAGCAGCCGTGTTTGAGGGTTTCTGCTTCCTCTCGCCTTTCTGCTTCCTTCTGCAACAACCATTTCAGCTCTTCATTCCCTCCATCCCCTCGCCCTCCCGACCTTCCCACTCTCTCAACGGGTGACCCTCCTCCACCTCACAGAATGGCGGACACACTTAACATCCCACCATGGGCTCAGCCTGCCCTAACCACGGCTTCCCTGGCCTCCTTTTCTCAGTACCTCAGAGCAGACACTTTTCCAGGGCATGGTTCATCTCTGTTTTTTGGGAAATATCCACTATCACTGGCCCCTCTTCTTACTATTAATCTGCTGTCTCGGGTTGAATGTCCCAGGAAACAGAGACACTGGCAGGGGCTTGCTGGGTGTGACCTCAAGACCAGTGCCTGCGGGGTGGAAGCAGCAGGAACGGCCCAGGGAGGAGCAAAGCTGGGGCCCAGGCCCATCTGCGGCCTCAGGCACCCCACAGGTAGCCTCAGCTTTGTGCTCCATTATGGCCAGGGGCCAGGCCACCGGAAAGGGGCTGCCCTGTCATGTGGGAGAAGGGAGGCCATGGATTTGGGCAGAGGGGCTCTCTTCAGCCCAGGGCACATCCTGGAGAGAGGTTAGGATTAGTGCTACTGGCCGCTGTCCCTCCCTGCCCTTTGGGAAACCCATGCTCAGTCCTGGAGGAGGGCATCTGAGTAGCACCCATGGTATCCGCTGCATCACCTGACCCCTGCCCCTTGCCACGGAACGTGCTGAAGAGCCTCTCTCTGAAAAACTCCTCTCAACCCCACATCTCTGCAGCTGCTACCCTCCTCCTCCTCCTCCTCCTCCTCCTCCTCCTCCTCCTCCTCCTCCTTCCCCTCCCCCTCCCCCTCCTTCCCCTCCCCCTCCCCCTCCTCTCCCTCCTTCTCCCCCTCCTCCCTTCCTCCCCCTCTCCCTCCTCCTTCCCCTCCTCCCCTTCCTCCTCCCCCCTCCTCCCCCTCCTTCCCGTCCTCCTCCCCCTCCTCCTCCC